TGCGTGGAGGGGGAGGGTCTGGGTGGGGGGTGTAGCTGGGGGTGTGGGTGCGTGTGTATAGTGGGGTGCGCATGTGGGCCCCTCACTCCATATGTCCCTCCACTGCGCACAGCCCCTGCTGCCAACAGATAGCAGGCCCTCAGGGCACTCACAGCCTGCAGCAGCAGGAGCCCCCTGGCAGTACGCAGTCCCGGCAAGTCCCAGGACTGAACATGACTGAGCTGCCGGCTCCATTGTGTGGGGCTTACGTGCAGTTCCTGAGTTCTCTGCCCAAGCCCCGTGCCTCCAGGAGGAGCTCCACGTAATGAAGCTGGCAGCGCAGGTCATGGGGCTTGGCCAGGGCAGCAGGAAGAGAGTAGGAGCCAGCCCAGCTACATAGCGCAGAGCTTCCCGCTGTTCCCCATAACCTGCACGTGGCAGTAAGCAAAGCCAGGCCGCCGGCTCCATCACACAGAGCTCCCCCTGGAGGAGAGCAGGTCGAGCTCCCCCCCAGAGGAGAGCAGCGTGGGCAGAAAACCTGGGAACCATACGTCAGCCCTGGGGAGCCCCACATGATGAAGCCTGGTAGACCCTGCACCCCATCTGCCTGGGCTCTGTGCTTCTGCCGCCATGCCCTGGGCCCCCACTGGCCCTGCCCCGGGGTACCGGCACAAGCCCTGTGCTCCTGCCCAGCTGCTGCTTCCCTCCCATCTGCCCAACTTGCTGCTGTTTCCCCCTTACTCTGCCCATCACTGCCACTTCCTTACCTGCAGGCCAGAGTCAGGGCCTTTCTGTGGGTGAAGGTGGAAGCACAGCATGGACTGCCCCAGTGGGAGTGAGCAGGGCTCAGCCCCATGCTAACACTACAGGAGCAGCCTGGGGCCAGGCCAGATGGAGTGAATTTATAGGCACTTGCCTGGTGGGCTGCATCTGGCCTGTAGGCCGTATTTTGCCTGCCCCTATCATACACCCTCAGTAGTGATGCAATCATGTTAAATTCACTAATGTTTATGAACACATGGAGAGTGTCAAAGGAAAGGTACCAGAGATAAGCAAAGTATTACATTTAAGCAAAGTGTTATTATAGTTAAAAAAATCAATTAGTGGACTCATTAAGAGCACATTAATAGACCGTATAATGTTAATTTTTGTCGAAGGGGAGTTTGCTATGGTTTCATTAGTGCTACAGTTCAAGAAAAGACCTGCACACTTTATAGTGACTGTGCCTATGGGACCCCCAATTCAGAATACAACTAAATTACAACCTATGCCAGGATTGTGATTGCTTCTTAGTAACTATCCCAATGACAAATTGATTCTCTTTCCCATCAGCTTACATAGTAAAAATGCACCAATATATCAGTGCCATATCGGAACAGCACTGATAAAAGGAAAATTGACATTATTGGCTATCAGCATTTTTGGCTGGTGTAGCCGTTAATGTCACCAATAAATATAATACACCTTCTGGCCCCTAGACATCGCATGCGTGTGCACAGCCACAGCATCCACATGGCAAGGAATCCAGCTGGGCAGCATGGAGAGCAACACCTTGGAGGTAACTCTAAGGAGGGGAAGGAGTGTGAGGGAGGAAAGGAGCATGGGTTGGGGATAGGTCGAGGCCCCCATGGTGGGGCTGGGGCGCTGCCCAGCCAAGGCAGTGAATGGGATCCTGGGGCCAGGGTGGGGAGCAGGACAGAGCCACAGGCAGCTAATCCAGGTGTGGGAGGCAGGGGGGTGACTCCCCATGGCTGCGTGCACCCCCAGGAGAGGCATGGGGGTGCATGTGCCCCCCTGGATTTGTGCGCAGGGCAGAGGCAGGCTGCCTGCGCGGGCTCGGGGCCTTCTGCCCTGCTGCCTTTGCTCTGGGAGCCGCGCGTCCCCTGCCCATCCAGTAGCAGTGGCGGCAGCAAGTTTTGCCTCCCAGTTCCAGATGGGCAAGGGACAGGCGGCCAGCACGCAGCTCCCAGGGCAAAAGTAGCAGGGCAGAGAGCCCTGAGCCCACAACGAAAAGCCTGCCTCCACCCTTGCCCTGCTTGCCTCTGCTCCTAAAAGTGTCCCCATGCTTTAAAATGATGGTGGCAGCACTTGAAATAAAGTTCATTTGACAAGCTTTAATTCAAGCATCCCTGCCGCCATTTTAAAGCACCAGGATGAGCTGCCCACAGCTTCGTCCCGCTCCGCACCCCGGGGCTCCATTCACTGCCCTCACTGGGCAGCAGTGCCCTCGCTGGGGGCCCCTGCCCCGCTCCCTCCCTCAGTGTGGGGGCCTCGATCTGCCCCACCACGCCCCTTCCCTCCCCCATGCCCATTCCCCTCCAGAGACTTACTTGCAGGGAACTGCTTTCCACACTGCACAGCTATCCTCCTGTAAATTGATTATCAGACTGATATCGGCCAATATGCCTGTTTAATTATCAGCTGGTTAATAATCTGCCAAGAAAATCTTTATTGGTGCACCTCTATTACATAGCATTATTTTACCTGCCAAAATGCTAGCCTGTAAATACTTCCTTTGGGAGACTAAATAGGCTATGCTAAGTGGACACAGAGTAATTCCAGGTTTAGGTACCTTTTACATTGGAGAAGATACTACTACGTTAGGGAAATTTACCTGTCACACTGGTCTCTCAAAACAAAACCATTCAGACCTGCAATGCATGTAGGATCCAGCATTCCCCACTATTCTACACCCTTTCAGAAAAGTAGCACAGTATAGAAGCAGGTTACCTAAACTACAGGACTTAACTACATTGGGGAACTGCAGTTCAAACAGTGATGTAACCACTAACCAGGTCTGTAAATATAATAGTCTCTGCTATATATGTTCTGAATTCCTGCT